TTTAAAAATCTCAAAATAGATATTAGATTAGTTGTTACAGTAACTTTAATTTGAGACATACAAGAAACCTTAGTAGATCAACAAGAAGAAAAAAAGAATGCGTAAGAGAGTAATCTTCCGAATGGAAAAAAATTCAAGCTTTGCCATCTACATCTATTAGAGCACATCCCTTTGAGAGAGAGAAACCAGATGATGCTGGATAACCTCTGTAGCTGACAGCAGATGGATTGAGAATTGAAGCAAACAATTTTGACACCCACACTCATTGGTTTCCCAATTCTGCATCTCTGCAAGAAGACTCAATGTGCACTTACATGTGCAGCTATGTTGTAAAGTATGCTGTGAATTATGTCCTCACAGCTCAGAAGGGCCACTGAGAATTATTATGAGGACAAATGTGAGCAAGAGTTGAGTCCTTCAACATCACCTGCCATAACCAGAAAGTGCTTCAAGGATTGCCATCCAAGAAAAAAATGGTCAATCCTCATTCATCCCAAAGGATAAAAAGGGGTGAAGGTGGAGTTGATGGGCAAAAATCATGGCATGGCAGAGACTTTCATGTTGGGGGCACACACCTCAGTGATCACTCACAAACAGTACCCTCAGTAGAAAGAGCAGCAAATAGCTCTTTTCCATTTGCCAAAAGAATCAACTCCTCCTTGCACAGCAAATATTTGTTTGGATACACATGAATGAATTATGTTACAAGGAAAACTATGGAATAGTACAATAATCCTCTCATGAATATTTCTTTTAATGTCCACTCCCCATCAAGGAGTCACACAACAACCAGCCCTAGGCACTAGATTGAACCATACTGAGTACTAACACCAAGTAAATTGGTAATTGTTTCCTGGTGTAGGAGGCCTGCAGATGACAATAAGAACAAGAAGGACACCTTGAATGATCACAATGAAAAAAGAGTTAGGTTGAAACCAACAAAGAACCATGCAAAGTATGAAGGTCAAGTCACTCAATGGAGGGCCCATGACCTCCACTAAATGGAACAGGAATCCTATGAAGTATTACAAGCTTAACAATCTCAAAACACATTCCAAGATCACCACCATTTGCATGAGGGAACTTTGATTGATTGCACCTTTTGGCCCCTGTTGACCCATAGCAACTTAAAAAACACCATGTATGAAAATGGTTAGTGTGGCTCAAGGAGAAGGAACCATGCTTTGTGTCACTCATAATCAAATCAAATTGAATAATGCAGTAAAAGGAAAATATGAATTAGTTTCTTCTATTAAAGTCCTACAGATTTTATGAACCTAATGGCAGGGTGGACAAGCCAAATTAAGTTGACCTAAATACATAATACAACTAGGACCATTTCATGCAATTATTAGGCACATCAAAGTAAGACCTCAGAAATGGTCCTGATTTCATGTGCCACTGTGCCAGAAATCTGGTGCTCATTGAGAGTAGGAGAGAACAAAATCTGAGGCTTACCTTGCAAAGATAAACTTTTGAGTGTGATTCAATCATAGTTCCAAATCTTGTCTCTTTCACATACTTGACAACAAAGGTATGAGAGTAATTTTAGGTTATGTAAAGAAAATTGTCTTTCTTCTTCTAACTTTGGCTAATAAATCAAATGCTAATGGAACTTGTGGCAAAGTTGTTTTTGGTGGTTGGGAGTTGCTATCAGTTTGGTTTGTATTGGGATGTGTGGAGGAACAAGGAGGGTTAAAGGGATAAGGTGACATAGAAGACATGGAGAGCATTGTTTCTGGGCTCTGTAAGCTGATTTGGGACGAGGTGCATTTTGGCTAAGATCAAGGTTGGATTGGAAGCTTATGAGTTGTGTGATGACTGTGACATCAAGCATCTATGTAATTTGCTGGCACAACCACCAAATTTTCCCCCTCATGATTTCCAGAGGCTCAAACTAATTTATCACCACAAACTTTCCTGTCCTAGTCCTTCTCTTTCTATCTCTCTCTGCACACACAAGAGCACATCATGCTTGTTAATGGAATTTAATATGCAAAGCCAGTGAAGCCTGTATTTATTGAGTGGACAGTGGCATTTTGCTTGATCCTAGGGTGTACTGACAAGATGAGCTTTTTTTTCATTTTTATTTTTTGCCAACAAAAAAAAAATCACAAGGTTTAGGGTGTATGTACAATTAAAGGAAAAAAAGATCAATGAAAAGTAGGTTATTTGGATGAAGTCAATGAATTTAAGAGTTTTTTCTACAACTCATGACAATTATGCAACTGGCAAAATGCCAAGGACACTCCTGCATAAGTTGAGAGAGGCAATAATAGCAGTTCTCTCCTCAAAGGAATTATGATAGGCTGCACTCAATATGGTTTGTCCATTCCAAAGCATATGACCACATTCATCAGTCCCTAAATATACCGAATTATAGTGATTCCAAAAGTGCAAGTTTTAGATGCTGATAAAAGGAATTACAGGAATAAAGGGAATAAAACAAAACTAAAGGCAGGCAAAAGAGATTCAAGAAAAGGATCTGGAATAAAGCAATTGAGTAAAGTGAGACAGTGAAGAATGAAACAAATACCAAGTGTAAATTGTCAATGGAAATTAGTCAAGCAGTGTGTTGTGGTAAAATTCCACCTTAGAAAGTGTTCATGTCCTCTTCTGACTTGATCTCTTAAAAAAAAAAGTGAATTCTGATGAGGAATATTGCTCAACATTTGGCAGTCATCTGGACATAGAAAAGCTTAAAGAATAATGAACAATAGGGACCATGTTATGCACCTCCTCCTGTTTTGCCCTTTTGTTCAGTGAGTGCAAAACTGGTCAGGTAAAGAAAATAACATGAGATTCATATTAGGAGTGTCTTTATTGGAAAACTTGAATGCTTACAAGGAAGGACCCAGCAACCAAGTCAAAGACAGATTCTAAACTGGAGCAACATGGCTGCTAGTAATCCAACAACATAGTGCAGCTAATCATCAGATGTCTTGAACAAAGAGATGAATTGACTCTCAAGTCCCATCATTCATGAATGGTTTATTATTTCCATGCTGATCATAAGATAATGTGACCACTATGCTAGTGAGATGATACATGTTCTCCTCTTAATAAATATTTGAAGCTCACATCCTAAACTCCATGTCTAATGGTGCCTTAATCCATCCTTTTAATCCTATTACAAATTTAGCTTTCCTCATGTTCTTCAAATTCATAATGTGGGGACAGGTTATGTTCCAGGCTCTCTCACTGTGTGCCTCTCCTCCTCTGACAGCACAGTCATCTCTCTCTCTCTCTCTCTCTCTCTCTCACATCTGTCTCCATCTATGCCATAAGCTTGTTTCCTGATAGTGCAAGCAAAGCAAACACCCCACACTTTATTTTTGTTTGGTCACAACCCCATAAAACTTTCTCATTTTTCCTGTGCCCTGTAAAAAAAAAAAAACCTGCTTTTCATTATCTTGTTCCAACATTTGTGCTCACTCAGCACTGCTGTGAGCCCCTTATTTTAGTTGTCTCACGACCCAACCCTGCAACCAAAACACTTCATTTCCTTCCCTTCTGACTCCTTCCACACCTTTGGCTTTTCTTGCTCTTCCTCTTCTTCCATCTAAGCTCCTCCTAATGCCCTCTTCCTGCCATGGAAAGCACAATGGAGGATACACTGAATCTTCCCATGGAGTAATAGAATAAGCTCCATGCATATTTTCCTCCTGACCTCCGAGCCTTGACAAGAGGATATTACTTCTGGCTTTGGCCTTTCAACCAGCCTGCACCCTGCAGCTCAGAGAGAGAGAGAGAGAGAGAGAGAGAGAGAGGTGGGTTTGTTCTGTCCTACTTCTCAAGCAATCTGCATTGCTGCATGACTCCAACAATCATGGGGGTATGTCTAACTGTTTTCATCAGTTGTACTTCGAGACAATGAGGTGGTGACCTGAATGCTAGGAGGAAATCTCTAGGCAATGCTGTTTTCCTCATAGGGAGGAAGTGTGATCTCCTCCAGGCAACAAGAGATTCCTAAGGTGTCTTTTGTTTAAGGCTCAGGGCTTTACCTTCCTAGATAAAGAGGTCAGTACTGGTCTTAAGATTACAATGACTACATGGTCTTGTTGCAGTTCCGAAGCTCTTCCCTGTTATTGTTCTTCTTCTTACAGAAAAGAGAAGATCTCAAACTAGTCATTTGGAACAAATCGTCGAGTCCTATTTTAAATGTTTGCCTAAATTAAACTGTTAATCTCACTTTATTCTAATTTTCCTTTTTTTCCTTCTTTGTGTCTCCTCCAATCTGTGTTTTTAGAACCCGGATAAGGTTCTTTGGAACCTCAAAGCTTCTATTTAGACTCCCAAGGATTCCAAACCCAAAGCCTCAGCTCACATCTCGATCCTTGGGGTTGGGTAGCTCAAATTCTGCTTCTCCTTCCTCTACTAATTTTTTATTTGGTTTCTTTTGTCCTTGGAACTTTTCCTTCTGGGATTGAGGTCAAAAAGAACACATAAAAGAAAGAAAGAGCACAAAGATTGAGAGAGAATGGATCTTTCTGGTCATGAAGGAGAGATCCCAATCCCAATAACCAGTGCATACGTTGGTGGCCATGGCCAAACCAACATGCGTGACACCCCCCCCATCCACCACCCCTCCAATGGCCCTCCTCCTCCGCCTCCTCCCCTACCCATTGCCACCACAGAGGACCACCAGCGCCACCACCACGCTACCAACTCCCACAGCACCAAGAAAGGGGTGGCGGTGAGGTACAGGGAGTGCCTCAAGAACCATGCAGCCTCCATTGGTGGGAATGCCACCGATGGCTGCGGTGAGTTCATGCCGAGTGGTGAGGAGGGAAGTCTGGAGGCCTTGAAGTGCTCTGCCTGCGGCTGCCACCGGAACTTCCACAGGAAAGAGACGGAAGGAGAGTCCTCATGCGACTGCTTCCACCCCCTCAGGGGGAGGAAGGTGATGGGTCAGAAGGGCCTCCTCCTCTCGGGATCCGATGCATTCGGCTACGGCCCTGCGTGCAATGGCCTCATTCCAAGGGCAACCCCACACAGCATGATCATGCCTCTGGGTGCCATCCAGACCTCCGAGTCCGACGAGATGGAAGGCGTGGGTGGAATGATGCCGAGGCCTCTCATGGTGAAGAAGAGGTTCCGGACCAAGTTCACTCCTGAGCAGAAGGAGAAGATGCTGAGCTTTGCCGAGAAGGTGGGCTGGAAGCTCCAGAAGCAGGAGGAGAGTGTGGTGCAGCAGTTCTGCCAGGAGATCGGGGTGAAGAGGAGGGTCCTCAAGGTGTGGATGCACAACAACAAGCACCACTTGGCAAAGAAGAACCCTCTCCAGCTTGAATGACCATTACCTCACTCTCATTTCCATGGATTGTCTTCGTCATTTCATGAGCTTTTGTCTTCCTCGGACTTCATCAAGCTTAGATGTCAATCCTTTCAGTGTTATCCATGCATTGTCTTTACATGAAGGCAGCAGACCTCAAGTTGTTATCCTTCCTTGTTGCACCGCAGCAGCAGCAGCAGCAGCAGCAGAAGCTGGTTTCTGGGTTTTGGATGCATCACTTGGTGAGGCTAAACATGCATGCATTCTCCTGTGACTTGTTTTGTGGCAATTAATTAGCATTAATGACCATAAACCATCTCCATCTTCACCCTCATCTGTCGTGGTTAAGATTCACCAAGGTCACAGCATTTACTAAATCACATGATTTTAGCTTTGGCACCACTCTCCTGAAATGAATGCTTCCTGGGTTTCCTTGTGAGTTTGCTCATTGACAAAGTTCGTGCACTGCAATGAGGCAAAAAGTGCAGGTGATACAGTGAAGCAGACTTCTTTTGTGTCAATGCAAGCTGCTGCCAGTCAACTTTGAGCTTAATAACTTGAAGCTTTGCTGTATTTTAGATGCAGGTCACAGTCTGGGAAGGATTAGTGGACTCCATCATGCTCTTCCCATGTTGTAGGAGTAGCCTGCAAAGGTTAGGTCTGGATCATAAGTTTCACTGCCACCATAGGCTCTGTCTGGGTACACTGGAAGCCTACTACAGAAGGACCCAACATAGGAGGGTCAGGCTCATTTAGTGGCATTTATATCAGAGTATATGCAAGCTTTGATGGAAGCTGCTCCGTCGGAGAGACGGTGTTTCCCGGTCACCTATCACAGCTTTGACCCCGACTTCAGCTCCATTTATGCTGAGAAATCCACTCGAGTATACTCAACAGAGCACATAGCATCCAATAATCATGTAAAATCACAAGTCATTATGCCTAACATGACAGGAAGGGAGGACACTTCTCAGGTGCTTCAACTCTTAACTATTCTTAGCATCATCCTTCTCAGGAATGAGTCTCTGATCTCGGCAGGTTCATCTTGTTGCCATGCAAATGGCAGCATTACTGGCTTCCATCTCCAGAGGAAACAGATTCAAATGTTTGATTTGTCTTGCAACTCTCTATATCTCTCTCTGTTCTTGCATCAGTTCAACAACCAAGCATGCAGAAGTGTATGATTTGTCTTATGGAAGCTGTGCTCATTCTGCACTCTTGTGGCTGGTGGGGAACTCATGGCCTGAACATCCTGCACTGCAAGAATAAGAACATAGGTCCCTCCCATTCAGGGTTCATGTTTGCAAAGTCCAGTAGCAGTATTGGCCCAAAACATATTTGATGAAGCCTAAAGGAGGTAGAAAAACAGGATTCAAATACTATGTTGAGAGGCACAAATGTAGGATTCAAACTCATGACCTATTTTGATATCTTTGATTGAACTACCAGTAGCTCCAGAAATTGAAGTTATGAAGAAAGAATCCAATCTAAATTTAGCTCACTATATTAGGTGTGAAGTATGACTAATTCCCCAAGCCTGGAGAACCCCAATGGATTAGCTGATCCCCTGTTCTTCACATCCTGTGAGGTCAACTGTTATTCTTTACTCAATGAGAAGGGATTGGATCAAATAGCAGAAAATATTTATGTTGATTTCTTGCAAAATTACTCTTGTGGAGTGTAATCAATAATCATCAATGAAGTGTTATTCTTCAATCTCAATCAACTAAATTGATTGAATAAAAATATGAGGACCTGATGATGATATATTGTTATCGACTTCTATGAAAAATTGTATCCTTAATTAAATTCATAATATTTAAATATTTTAGTTAGAGGTTTTCATAAAATCTTTTTTTAGGTATATTCTATTTCTTCTCGTACCACTAATACTAATTATTTTAATACCTTTAAATATAAATTCTACCGGCCTCCTCATATCCGCACCATGTTAAATAATTATTCCTTATTTTATTCTCCATCAAACTACACTTAATTATTCAGAAATGTGATTTTTCTTTTTTTTATAGTTATATATAAAACTAAAATTATTTTTGTTATATAAAAAATTTATTTTAATTTTCTTAAAATATCTGTCAAATTAGTTATTTATTAAGCTGTTGAAATGATCAGATACATCATTTGAAATATTTGATCGTTTAAGTTATTTTATTTTTCTGATAGGTTCGAAATCGAATCAGAATCGTCGATTTTGATAGTGATTTGAAATCCTAAGAACTAAAATCGAATGGTCCGAACTCGATTTTGGTTCAGTTCGAAACCACTGAACCGCTAGACTCGATTGAGCTCCGGTTCGAGTTTGGGTAGAGTCGAACCGTGGTTGGGCTGCTCGATGAACCCGTTCTGCGTTCACGGGAAGTCAACAATTCTTTCGCACAGGAGGACTCTTTGGTAATTTTCTACAGAAAGGGGGAAATCATCCTATTTTGTATGAAATAAAGTATTAATATATTATATATTCAGCTACTAAAACCCATCTGCCTCTTCTTCTTCAAGACTCAAAAAGGTTCCGATAGCTCTGTCCTCCTCGCAGACTTCGCCGACTGAAGAGTAGGGAAAGGCGACGAGGGAGACGGAGCTGGGGAAGGGATAGAGATGGTGGGGAGGAGATCGAAGCCGGCGAAGGGAAAGGAGAAGGGCTTCGCGTGGAAGCTTCCGGTCGTCAAAACCGAGGACCTCGGCAAGCTCGGCCCTGGTCTCAGCTTCGGCGCCGGCTGCGGTGTGGGCGTCGGTATCGGCCTCTTTGGAGGTTCCTTCTCCTCTCTCTCTCTCTCTCTCTCTCTCTCTCTCTCTC